ACACACACACACACACACACACACACACACACACACACACACACACACACAGATGCAGCTAAATAACACCGCCCTGTATGAAGGGACGAGCTAAAGCTAACTGAACACACAGTTCAGTGCAAACAGGTGATTTACAGAACTACATCTGCCACAGATCCAACACGTCTTTCAGGCAACAAGTCATGTCATTGCAAGACATTATGTTTCAGTGCTGGCAATGAGCTATAATACACTACACTCTGAACATAACTCAACAACAGCAGCAGCACACTAAAGATATCAAATACATATTTACCTTACCTTACACTAATGCCACTGTGTTATTGTGAAAGGAAAAGATACTGTTTCAGTCACATGTGAAACATGGAGAAAATAATCTTCAGGTGGAATTTCATCTCAGCAAACCAAGGAAGCACATCACCTGAAGCCTGTCYCACCTGTTTCAGCTTCTTTGAGTCGCTGCCGGTCTTCTTCTCTGACTTCTTGTATGTGTCATATAGCTTAGGGTCGATGCTGTACATGCACTCCGTCCACTTCCCATAGATGACGCTCCGCTTCTTCTTACTGGTTCAACCACAGCAATCATTTGAGAGACCAATCCATCAGTCTGACTTGTTACTGAGATGGTGTGCTCCTGCTCTCACCTTCTGTCCTGGATGTAGCCTTCCACTTTGTGAAGGTCTCTTCCAAACATCCCACAGGGTTTAAAGTTTAAAACACACTTCTCTCCGGTGCTGAGAAATTCAAGACATGTTAAAGATGAATAATCAACACTGGGTAGTCCACAAAGCTTTAAGGTTTGAGCGAAGTATCAATAATTGTACCTGTGGTTGATTATCTCCACTGCTCCRTATTGTTCGATCCAGAGTTTTCCCAAGATGATATTGTGCACACAGCACATTGGATTTGTCCACGTGTACGCTTCTTTGTGTCTGTGACGAAAATGACAAAAAGAGGGTTCCTACAGTTTCCTAAAAGTTAAGACTTTTTAATGCCACTTGAAATTAAGTTTAGGACCAATATCACAATAAACACAAATAAAAACCCAGTTAGTGGCCAATTTTCCCAAATGTTTATTTTAATACAAAATAACTAGCTGTGAGAGGCATTGGTAAATTATTTCAATAAATAATGTCATCAATTACTTTAACTACGAACACCCTTTTAAGACCTCTGAAAGACYGATTTAAGACATTTTAAGGCTAATTAAGGCCTTATTTTTTTGGGTAGATGAATTCAATGCCTTTTAAGACTTTTTAAGGATCAGCGGGAACCCTAAAAAATGTTCTGGAGCTGCAACAATCACAGCTGAAGGACCAATTACCAGCAGGTATCATATCTGTGACACAAACACAAAAMCTCTGAAACAAAAACAGCTACAACAGATGGTGTGTTAGAGACGCTAATAMTGTAAATGGTAAATAGACTGTYCTTATATAGCTCCTTTCTATCCAACCAGGACACTCAAGTGCTTTACACTACAATCTGTGTCCTCATTTACCCATTCACACAGAACTCTGTCTCGCTACAAAGCTAACATGTGCAAATCTTCTATGGAGACTAACCAGTGCTTTAAATTACATTCATACACTGATGGGACGCATCAGAGGCAGTGGGCGTTCTGTGTCTTGCCCAGGGACATATTGACATGTGATTGAATAGTGGGAGAATCGAACCGCCAACTCTCTCATTGAAGCACTCACACCAAATGTCCATGCAATGATTTCTTTCTGAGAGTTTTGTCACCATCTGTGCAGTGGTCAGTGCTAGACTGGCCATCGGGCATAGCGGGCACTTGACCGTTGGGCCGTCGTGATTTTGGGCCGAGCAGTCCTGTCATGAACCAAAAAAATAAATTATAACTATTTTTTTTGTCGACCGCGACGGCCCATTGGTTGATTTTCTTGAACAACATCGAGCTAATCCAAAGAAATCTCGCAGCACTCTTCGGCCAGCCCCTCCCCTTTCGACCAAAGTTATCAATATTGCCATTCGAGCTGGTCAGAGCAGAGTTGGAGAGAAGTAGGAAGCACTGGACAAAACACGCTGAGAAGCTGCGGATAAAATGCAGAAAGGTCTCCAAGTGCACGCAGAAAAGTGTGCAAAAATAACCAATGTTTCCCACAACAAGCCAAAAAATATCTAACCGACTTTATAWATGTTAATTRAAACCGGGAGGGAGAAAAAAAKGAACACAGCTTGGAGCAGCTGGCTCTGCTCCTTACCRGTCAGCCGGTTTGTGATCYGGCTGATAAAAAAAMCCCATWGAGATTGTGTTTAAACTCCACCCACTYGACCCACCRCTTCTGCCRGAGTTAGAGTGAAGGTCAAGCGAGCGGACATGTCCCGGACGGCTCGTCAGCTGTTAGTTAGAGGTTAGCTAAACCTGCACCGTTCAAGTTGAATTAAAAAGAATATAAACTCCTCCTGGACCTTCTGGACACGTTTAAGAGACTCTTCAAGAGAGGCTTCAAGCTGCAGCTAACTACAGGTTCTCTACCTGCACAGCCTCACCTGGTGAGTTTTTGAGCAATTTTCAAATTTACACAGATTTGTTTGAACAGTTTGTGTTGAGTTTAAAAAATGAGCAATCCACAAAATGAATGCACAAACTGCGGAGCTCTGTATTATTGACTGTATTATTGTTCTACTGCTTTATTTGCAGATATTTTTTCTGTAAAATGTTAATGTAGCTAATAGCTTAAATTCAATTGAATTGAATTCAATTCAATTCAATTCAAAAATACTTTATTGATCCCAGAGGTAAATTAGGTGTTGATGTAACTCATTTAACTAAAAACTTATTGTAGATGCTGATGGCTGTGGGCAGGAAAGATCTTCTGTAGCGGTCTGTGTTACAGCGAAGTTGAAGAAGCCTCTGAC